GTACCCCTTTCTCATTCCTGGCTCCTCACTGCCTTGTCCACCATCTCTACCTCCCCTGCATGCCCATGCTTCCCTCCCCTCCCTTCCTTCCTCCTCCTCTTCCCCTTCCTCTTCTTCCTCCTCCTCCCTGCCCCCTGAGACCCACCCAGCCTTCAGAAGCCACCTTTCCTCTGAATGACCTGACAAGTGTCATTGGCCACCTTGTCACCAGGCAGCAACACTGTCAGTCTCCTAGCTCCATGGGGGCAGAGGTGTGTCTGCTTTTATTCGCTAGATCCCTGTCCCCAGCAGGGAATCTCTTCTTCATGAAGCTCCAGCTGGATTATCAGCAATTCCATTTTACACCAGGACAAACTAAATTGGTGGGAAGTGTGGGTTTTAGAAGCAGACAGATCTGGGTTTAAAATCCTAGCTCTAGATACACAGTGGGACTTTTGGTGACATTTATATTCTCTGAGCCTCAATTTCTTCTGTAAACTGGGGGGTAATCTGTACCTCTTGTGGGCTGCTGTCAAGAATAATTGAGCTCTTACCCAGCATTGTGGCTCATTCCTGTAATCCTACCTACTCAGAAGGCTGAGATCTGAGGATTGCAGTTTGAAACCAGCCTAGGCAGGAAAGTCTATTAGACTCTTATCTCCAGTAAATCATAGAAAAATCCACAAGTGGTACACAGTGGCTCGAGTGGTAGAGTGCTAGACTTGAGCTAAAAGGAGCCCAGGGACAGTGCCCAAATCCAGAATTCAAGCCTCACAACTGGCAAAGAGGGGGGTAGGAAGGAGGGGGGAGAAAGAGGGAGGGGAGGAGGGGGGGGGGAGAAGGAGGTCTTAAATACCTACTCAGGTTCCCTTTAAATTACATTTTCATAGCATTGCAGACATGAATATCTATTGAGATGAACTCCAGGAAAAGGAAACTTGTTTTTTTCTTTGTTGTTGTTTCTGTTTTGTTTGTTCATTTATCTGTCTTTTAGAGGGTAAGGGAGTGCCACAGAAAAGGAGGGATCAAGGATAAAGAAATGCAGCAGTGAGGCTGGGAAGGTGGCTCAGTGGTAGAGCGCTTGCCTTGCATGCATGAGGCCCTGGGTTCGATTCCTTAGCACCACATAAGCAAAAAGAAAAAAGCCAGAAGTGGCACTGTGGCTCAAGTGGTAGAGCGCTAGCCTTGAGCTGAAGAGCTGAGGGACAGCACCCAGGCCCAGAGTTCAGGCCCCACGACCGGACCAAAAAAAAAAGAAATGCAGCAGTGGTACTCACTAGACATTGTTGAAAATGATCTGAACAAATTGTGGGTGAGGATGGAAGGGAAAAACAGGGAGAGCGAGGGAAGGGGTCATAGAGTCCAAATGGAAATGTACTCTTGACCTGACTTATGTAACTATAACTTCTGTACATCACCTTTATAATGACAATAAAAAATAAAAAGGAATTCCTCGTTTGTTGTGTCTTGTTTTTGAGACAGGGTCTCACTATGTATTCTAGTCTGGCAGTCCTCCCCCTCTGCCTTCTGAGTGCTTACAGATGTGCACCACCATGCCTGGTTTGCTCCTGCCCTTGTTTGTCTAGTGTCAGTACTAAAGCTTGAATTCAGGGCCTGGGGGCTGTATTTTTGTTGTTTGTTTTAAGGAGACATTTGTGTCATTTCTGACTTTTTGCTACGTGGTCAGTACTCCAGTACCTAGAGATGAAATTTCAGGTCACAGGAAATGATCAGCCTTGTAGTCTGTGATAAGCACTTAAAAAGCTAATTTTGAACACTTTTGGATCTTGTGAATTCAAGGAATTCCACCGACACAGAATTGGTGTTTATAATGTCAATGTGCTGGGTTGAGATTGTGGGCCTATTTTGCTCAGAGCCCTCAAACTGCTGCCCGCCTGACCTTTCCCCCAGGCCACACTCATGTGTAACATGACCCCTTCCCCCCAGGAACCTTCTGTGACAAAGACATTACTGTGTCATCAGCAGTTCACTAAAAGCTGGTCCGTCTCAGTCTGATTTCCCCTTAGACCAGAAGGGAAAGAACACGTATTTCCTTTTATTACAAGATAGAAATGTTGATCCTGTGTTACAGTTCTCCATCTAGAACCTGTGTTGGTAAGAGCTCATCTAGGTAGAGCTCTCTGCTTTTTCCCTTTTTCCTCTTCTGGTTAGCAAGCTCCAGTATGACCTGGGGATTTATGATCATAGCGTCCCCTATGAAATTCAGTTGTCATTTCCTCTCATCTTTGTCTTCTAAAATCTGCTAACTTAAAGACAAACAAACAAACAAACCAAATATCTGGGCTGGAAATGTGGTTCAGTGGTAGAATGCTTACCTAGCATGTATGATATCCTGGGTTCGATTCCTCAGTACCATATAAACAGAAAAAGCTGGAAGAGGCACTATAGCTCAAGTAGAAGAAAACTAGCCTTGAGCAAAAGAAGTTCTGGGACAGTGTCCAGGCCCTGAGTTCAAGCCCCATGACTGGCCAAAAACAAACTCCTTTACAAGCCAGGTGCTGGTGGCTCATGCCTATAATCCTAGTTTCTCAAGAGGGTTAGATCTGAAGGTCTCAGTTCGAAGCCAGCCCAGGCAGTAAAGTCTGTGAGACTCTTATCTTCGATTAACCACCAGACAACCAGAAGTGGAACTGTGGCTTATAGTGATAGAGTGCTAACCTTGCTCAAAAGAGTTCAGGGACAGCACCTAGGCCCTGAGTTCAAACCTTACAACTAAACAACAACAAAAAAAATTGAAGCCAGGCACCAGTGGCTCACACCTGTAATCCTAGCTACTCAGGAGGCTGAGATCTGAGGGTTGAGGTTCAGAACAAGCCAGTCCAGGCAGAAAAGTCCATGAGACTCTTATCTCAAATTAACCAACAGAAAACCAGAAGTGGTGCTGTGGCTCAGTGGTAGTGCGCTCACCTTGAGCTGAAGAGCTGAGGGACAGTTCCCAGGCACCACGACTGAAAAAAAAAAAAAAAAGATCCCAAACTGTTTTTCTAGCTGAGTGTGGTGATTCATGCCTGTAACCCCAGCTACTTGGAAGGTATAGGTCAGAGGGCGTGTGGTTTGATGCTAACCTAAGTAAAGTTAACAATATCCTCATGCTAACAAACAAGCCTAGAAGTGCTGGTTTGAGACTGCACTTCCAGCTATGTAAGAAGTGGCCTAAGGCTGGTATGGGCAAAAAAGCATGAGAACCTACCTGAGAAAAACACTTAAAGCATGTCTTTAAATGCCTTCCTAACCAGCTCAAGATCCTAAGTTGAAACCCTAGTACTGCTTTTAAGTTTAAGCAAATAGAAAATAGCTGGGGAGGTGGCTCAGTGGTAGAGTGCTTACCTTGCATGCATTAGTTCTTAGGTTCAATTCCTCAGCACCACATAAGCAGAAAAAGCCAGAAGTGGTGCTGTGGCTCAAGTGGTAGAATGCTAGCCTTGAGCTGAAGAACTGAGGGACAGAGCCAGGCCCAGAGTTCAGGCCCATGACCTACAAAAAAAAAAAAAAGAAAAGAAAAAATACAAACTGCTTCACTGAGATAAAATATGTACACTGCAAAAATTCAGTGACTTTTAGTATATTCCCATAGTTGTGCACCCATTGCTACAGGCAATTTTTTTCCCAAACACTTATATCACCCCCAAAAAGAAACTCAGACCCTTTAGTACTCACCTTATTTTCCCCCAGGTAACCGCTAATCCACTTTCTTGTGTGTGTATGATAGGGATTTAATCAAGGGCCTCACATTCTAAACAAGCATGTACCCCTGAGCTATTCTCCCAGCCCAATTTGGCTATTCTGGACATTTCATATGAATGACATAATACGGTATGTGGTCATCTTTGACTGCCTTCTGGTGTTTTGTTACACTGGCTGTTCATAGGGGTTACACCATTGGAATCCTCCTCTGGTATATTTACATATATGCATCTGACCCTGTATTTGTTTTCAGATATGTTTATAATTTAGATCTACCTTCCACATGAGAGAAAATTGTGCCCCTTGTCTCTCTGAGCCTAACTTTAAAGTGGGCTTGGTAAACCACAAGGCCTCAGACCTCTCCAGAGGCCATGCACTTGAGTATGGAGAGACAAACTCCTGTGTCATTCATTGCTCGTTTCACTATAAGCATTGTATATTTCACTATATATACCTTCTGGCTTCGAAGGTAATCTTCATATTTTATGTAATTCTGAAATTGAGTCCCTCACCTTCTCCACATTGCTAGTAAGAGATCATAGACTGCTACTAGTTTTGGAATACTATATAGCAATGAACAGAAATGAAACAGAAGGCTTATGCAGTTACATGGCCAACTTTCTAAAATAGTAATGGAGGACAAAAAAGACCATCACAGATGAATTGTGTTCTTCTTAATTATCTTTCAGAAATGGGCTTGATGACCTCATGTTTGTTTAGGGACAGCTACATATGGCAAGATGTGCACTGTTTAGAATGGTGGCGTGGCGAGGGGAGAGGTGAACTAGGAAGAAGAGGGATGTGGGGAAAGACAGGGACTTCGGGATGTGGGTCATGTTCTGCTTTATCTTTTGCACTGTTGGCAAGTCACATTCTACTTCTTAATCCAAATAATGGGTACATAATTTTCAATTGTGTGTGTGTGCACGTACATGCATGTACATGTGTGTACATCCCCCATGCTGGTCTTGAACTCAAGGTCTGGGTATTTTCCCTGACCTTTTTCTCTCAAGGCTAGCCCTCTACCACTTGAGCCTCAGCTTTACTTCCAGCTTTTTGCTGTTCAATTGGAGATTTGAGTCTTTCAGACTTCTGCCAGGGCTGGCTGGCTTCAAACTTTAATCCTCAGATCTCAGCCTCCTGAGTAGCCTGATCACAGGCATGATCCACTGGTTCCCAGCTCATTTTAATCTTTATTCTTTAAGCAGTTTGTATATACTTTGTTTTCTTACGTAAGAGAATTTTTCCTGAGATACCTAAATGTGGATTCTGCATAAAGTGGCTCTGTGATTCTGTCCCCTTCTCTTCCCTCCCAGGGCAATGATGAGGGCCCCGAGGGGCTGAAGATCATCTCCAATATCCTCGAGAAGATGAGCATCAACATCGGTGTGCTGATGGGTGCCAATATAGCCAGCGAGGTGGCTGCCGAGAAGTTCTGTGAGACCACCATTAGTGAACCACCCAGGAGAGACATGGAAGTCTCTCCTGCATATTCCCCCCCTCCTTGCTCTCCCCTGTGCTGCTAGAGTGGAACCCAGGGCCTGGCGCATGCTCCACCCCAGAGCTGCCCCAGCCCATTCCTCAGACTGTCTGTGGTGGGCCTGGGAGTGGGCGGGTTATGTGCAGAACCATTCTGTGCCTCTGAAGTGGTCCAGCCACACCAGAGTGAATGGAGAATCGGAAGGATGACCTGATCCACCTGGAAGGGGGACCAGTAAGTTAGACATGGAAATAGAAGGTTGTTTGTATCCACACACAGGGGGTGTTTGTACCCACACTCAAATGGGGAGGTCCCTTGGCCAAGAAATTCCCTTTCTATCCTTTCATTCCTTCCCTCCCTCCATCCCTCCCTTCTTCCTTCTTTTCCCTTTCCCTTCCCCTTCTTATTCACGACTGAATTTTGCTGTGTTGCATATGTTGCCTAGACTGGCCTTGAACACTCTGTCTCCTGCTTCTATCTCCCAAGTTGTTAGGACTGACTACAGGATGTACACTCACCTAGCTTAGCTTTTCACAGATCACAAAGCCAGTCTCCAAGTCCATCCTCACTGATGCCGATGAGGCTGAACAATGGGTGAGGGAGGTTCCCATTTTCTGGTGACTAAGGAATGACTTTCAAGGTCATGCCACAAGGTAGAATCTTGGTTCAGATTTGGCTGTCCTGTTTCCTGAAATAGTAAGCTTTTTTTTTCTGTTGTGAAGAAACATTCTCACACTGATGTTGGGAAGATTCTCATTGCTTATAGGGAGGGCTTTGAGAGTCTGAAGTACCTGTGAGCTGCCTTAAAGTGTGCACTGGTGTAAAAATAATAGTTCTGTATTTTTAGACACTTTGCAAACATTTAGGTTTTTTTCTACCATTGCACAACTTTTACAGCTGTTTCTCCTCAACAGATGCATAAAAAGGACCTCAGAGACCAGAGGCTAGCATGAAGTTCATGGAAAACGTACCCCTGGATACTCATAAGTTCCATATAGGATATTTATAGTTTGTTTCATTGCGGTTCCCCCTTGGTTTTCATTTTAAATGTATGTACATTTTAGTCACTTTCTTAGGGAAAATAAAAGTAATCTTTTTTGTTTTTCGCTTGGTATACTGTTTTCTATCTGTGCAAACTATTATTTATTGTAAGTTATGTATTTTCAAATTGCTTATTTTGTATTTGTAACAGAACATTTTACAGTTAACACACATTTTGATGCTATATAGTATTCATCAATAACTCCGTATAGTCAGACCTTTAAACTTTTCATTGAAGTGCTGGGCACCAGTGACACCTGTAATCCTAGCTACTCAGGAGGCTGAGATCTGAGGATTGCAGTTTGAAGCCAACCCAGGTTGAAAAGTCCTCAAGAGATTCTTATCTCCAATTCACTATTCAAAAAATTGGAAGTGGAGCCGGGCGCTGGTGGCTCACGCCTGTAATCCTAGCTACTCAGGAGGCTGAGATCTGAGGATCGCGGTTCAAAGCCAGCCTGGGCAGGAGAGACCATGAGACTCCTATCTCCAATAAACCACCAGAAAACTGGAAGTGGCGCTGTAGCTCAAGTGGTAGAGTGCTCGCCTTGACCTGAAGAGCTGAGGGACAGCGCCCAGGCCCAGAGTTCAAGCCCCACGACCGACAAAAAAAAAAAAAAATTGGAGGTGGAACTGTGGCTCAAGTGGTAAAGCTCTAGCCTTGAGCAAAAGAGCTTCAAGGTGGTACTCAGGCCCTGAGTTCAGCCAACACACATACATAAAAAATTTCATCAAGGAGTATTTTTGGGGAATGTAAAGGTGCCAAACTAATATAAAGATACATTGGGAAGTTCAAACTTTGCCTCCAAGATTTGGTCATTGATTCTGTTGAAATAAGCTTGTAAAAGATCACCCTCCCCCCCCAAAAAAGAGAGTATGAGTGAATTACCATGGATATATGCATAGAAGCCATACAGAACATGAAACTCAGGGCAGGGGTGTGGCTTAGGTCACAGAACACCACCTACCAAGTGCAAAGCCCTGAGCTGAAACCACTACTGCCTGTCACCCATGGCCCCCCAAAGAAAACTAAAGAAAGGCGTAAATACCCTCTTCACTAGGCAGATGGAAGTGGGGTGGCAGACAATTATAGAGGGGTTAAAAGTAGGTTTTAGGGGAGGAATTGAGCCTGGAGGACAGTGGCCTCAGGCAGAGTTCTGGGCTTGGTGTTTGATTTCCAGTCTCTTCCTCTGTGGTAAGTCTGTCATCCTTAGTAATGAAATGTCAGTGTGGAGATTTAAGGCTACTGGACTGACTCTCATTGGTGGGTCTGAGTCAGGTGGACGCAGGAACTTGGAGAAAGCCCTTCCTTGCATTGGCATTCTTTGATGCACTCAGTTTTAAGGCCACAGTTGATACATTTTGCAGTGTCATTGTGTTCAACCCTCAGCAAAAGAAAGCAAGAATGGTGTAATCAGCTTTCTAATCTGGCATTTGCAAGGTGATACAGCCCCAGTTTTTAAAAATAGTCCAGGCTAGGAATGTGGCTTAGTAGTATAGTGTTTGCCTATCATGCATAAGACCTGGGTTCGATTCCTCAGTACCACATAAACAGAAAAAGCCTGAAGTGGCACCGTGGCTCAAGTGGTAGAGTGCCTTGAGCAAAAGAAGCTCAGGAACCGTGCCCAGGCCCTGAGTTCAAGCCTCAGGAATGGGGGGAAAAATCAAGCAGTATGAGAAGGTAGAAAGTGAGAGTCATGAGGGCCCTGCAGTACCGCCATGCAGTCCAAACGCGAGTGTGAGCCATGGTGTGAGAGGGTGAATCCAGAAAACAAGGCGGCCCTGGAGGCGTGGGTCGGGGAGACGGGCACAGGAGGTACGGCGGGCCACCTCCAGGCTGGGTGGGCAGCCCGCCGCCGGCAGGTCGGCGGTGATTATTCGGAGGCTGCCCCAGGATGTGTAGGAGCCCCAGCTGATCCGCTACTCCAGCGCGTGGGCCGCCTCCACGAGTTCCGTCTCCTGATGACCTTCAGCGGCCTCAATCGCGGCTTCGCCTACGCGCGCTACGGCGCGGTGCCCAGGCCGCCACGGCCCCGCTGCACAACCACCTCCTGCGGCCCTCCTGCCCGCAGCACGGAGGACAAGTGCGAGCTGAGCGTGGAGGGGCTGCCGTCGAGGGGGACCCACTGCAGCCGCCGGGCCCCGGCCTCCAGGAAGCCCTGCTGCTGCGCAGTCCGGGGTCGACAGCAACCCAGATTGCACTGCTCAAGTTCAGTTCGCATCGCGCAGCCGCCAGGGCCTTAGTGGAAGGGCAGTCACGCCTCCGTGGAGAACCAGTACTGTGGCGTGGCTCAAGCCAGACCTGAAGCAGCTACTGCGTCCCCAGCTCATGCGTCCCTCCCTGCAGCGCCTGCAGCCAAATAGTAGTCAGCTGGCCCTGGCTAAGAACAAGCTGGGGTCCCAAGGGCCTGGAGCCGCCCTGCAGATGCTGTGCCAACGAATGAAGCTAGGCAGCCCAGTGTTCCTCACCAAGTGTTTGGACACAGGACCTGCTGGCTGGCATGGCTTCTGGTACCAAGTAGTGATCCCTGGGCATCCAGTGCCTTTCAGTGGCCTCATCTGGGTTGTGCTGACTCCAGATGGGCAGGATGGTCATGAAGTGGCCAAGGATGCTGTTTCTACACAGCTGCTGGAAGCACTGAGTGAGTCTGAGGCCAGCTTCTTGTGGACTGGTGGGGCTGAGGCGGGTACTATATTGAAGCAGTAACACACCCTCTCTCCCCTCCACAGGCAGCCTAAATGGGTAGGCAGAGCCTATGTCAACACCCAGCCCAGCAGGCCTGGGCAACCACTTCTGATCCCAAAATGGGGAGGGATATGGGCCCTGCATCGCATCTTCCTCACTGGAACATAGCCCCATACCTGGCAGCTGCTCAGGTTTAGCTTAAGTTGCAAGGTTTGTCTTTGTGCGCTTCCTTGGCCATTTCCTATGTGACATGCGTATAATGAATCTTTCTTTGTTTTTATGTGAGGAACTAGCCAAGTCCTTGGTGTCTACTGCTTGTCATTATGGTTTTAGTTAATATGGCTTGAGTTTTTCTGTGTTGTTATCTGTATTTATATTAAATCCCTGGTTAGTAAAAAAAAAAAAAAGAGTCAAGATTGTAATTTTGTATAATTACTGTTAGCAGTTGCTAACTATCCTTCCAGAGTGGAATTTGTCTATGCATAGTATGCATAGTACATATTAATATAATGTGCCAGATGTGCATATTAATATATTCTTTCAGTTAATTTTTCAATTTGCAATTTTAATATAGCCTATGAAAAAAGTGTTTTTCTCCAATAAGATTTTTGCCTCATTATTTTAATTCAGTCTGTTAACCAATTATCTTTTCCCAGTTGGTTGAAAATGGCGATTACTCAATCATCACGGAAGGCTGAGAACTAATCTCCATTTACTCATTAAATCTGTATCTACTTGCACATGCTGGCTGAGATGTTGACCTGCCTCTTGCCTGCGATGTTTCAGAGAAGTGCTTGGGCTTGTTTGTGAAGACAGATAAATGCCCAGAGGTTACTCTCTTTCTGTTTGGCTTCTGTGTCCTTTCTCTGTGGATTGAAAAAAAAATGGCACTGGTGACCTGAGTTAAATTAAACACTAAAAGTAGATTGAGCTGGGTGCCAGTGGCTCACACCTGTAATTCCTGATACTCAGGAGGCTGAAATCTGAGGATCATGTTTGAAGCCAGCCCATGCAGGAAAAGTTGGCAACACTTTTATCTCCTACTAACCACTAAAAAGCTGAACTGTGGCTTAAGTGGCAAAGCACTAGCCTTGCTCACAGCCCCAGTACTGGCTCACACACACACATACACACACACACACACACACACACACACACACACAAGATAGAACATGAGGGGGGTAATTTTTTAACTGTATTTTTTTTGTCTTTTCTTTTCTGGTACTGGGGATCGAACCCAGGACCTTGCACTTGCTAGGCAAGCGCTTTGCCACTGAGCTACATCCCAGCCCTAGGGCGGTAATTTTAAAATGAACTGTTTTATGTAACCTGAACTTAATGAGGCTATGTCACACAAGCCAGAAGAAAGGGACAGATATTGTCAAACAAACATCTCTTACTCCTCAAAAGGCCAGTGGACTGAAGGACAGCCGAAGGCTAATGGAGCACTCTATGTGTTGGAGATGGCTGGCGGCCTGATCAGGAATTCTGCAGGGATTTGGGAACTTAGATCCAGGAATGCAACAGTGTCCTGGGCTGCCCCCACAGTGACCCGTTTGAATGGCAAACAGACCTTGATTCCCTCCACAAGCCCCTGCACATCGAATGAGGGTGCCCACCTGACCTCCTGCAGCTCACTTGGAAAATAAGTGTGTCAGGGGCTGGGAAGGTGGCTCAGTGGTAGAGCGCTTGCCTTGCATGCCTGAGGCCCTGGGTTCGACTCCTCAGCACCACATAAGCAAAAAGAAAAAAAAAAAAAAAAAGCTGGAAGTGGTGCTGTGGCTCAAGTGGTAGAGCGCTAGCCTTGAGCTGAAGAGCTGAGGGACAGCGCCCAGGCCCAGAGTTCAGGCCCCACAACCGGACCAAAAATAAAAAAAAAAAAAAGAAAATAAGTGTGTCAACAGCCCAGCCAGTAAAGATGAGCATTTGTCTCAAGGGCTTCTATATTCCTCTTGAAAAGCCTCCGTTCTTTGGACTGGAAATACCCTGTAAATGAGTAAATGTACTGTAGCTTGACATTTTACACCACAGCAAGGTGTGGTTTCATAGCTATCTCAGCTATTTATTGCCATTCAAAAGTGTACAATGGAATTGCTTGTCATATAGATCTTTGCAAGGATTTGCATGCAAATTTAATTTACTCCTTAAGCCAGACAAGCATATATAATTATCTGCTGTGACTAGCATTACAGTTTTGAACAGTGCTGTGAATAGTAATGGGTGAAAAAGGAGAGATTCAGACGGGAAGTTTTAAGCAATTACTCCATCAGAGCTGCTGAATGAACTTTGTTGTTGGGGCTTGAACTTGGGACCTGGGTACTGTCCATTAGCTATTTGGCTCAAGGCCGATGCTCTTCCCACTTGAATCACAGCTGTTTGGAGCCTTTTGGTGGTTAATTGCAGCTAGAGTTTCTCAGATTTGTCTGCCTACGCTGGCTTTGAATTGTGATCCTCAGATTTCAGCCTCCTGAGTAGATAGGACTACAGGCATAAGCCACACCAGTGTCTAGGTTGCAACCTGAGTCGGAGCCAGTGGCTCATTCCTGTAATCCAAGACATGCAGGAGACTGAGATTTGAAACTGAGGTTTGAAGTTTAGCCCGGCAAATAAATTCAACAGACTCTTATTTTCAATTAACCAGCAAAAACCCAGAAGTGGATGTATAGCTCAAGTAGCAGAACACCCGTCTTGATCAAGTGTGTGAGGCCCTGAGTTCCAGCCCCAGCACAAAGAAAAATATCTTTTATACAGTGGTCACTTTAAGGCTGTTTAATAAGTGAAATGACTTGTGTATGATTTGTGTATGTATGTGTGCAGGTCTTGGGGCTTGAATCCAGGGCCTGGATGCTGTCCCTGAGCTTTTGTGCTCAAGTCTGGTACACTACTACTTGAGCCATAGCTCCACTTCCAGTTTTTTAATGGTTAACTGGAGATAAGAGTCTTATGGTCTTACTCTGGCCTGGCTTTGAATTGTGATCCTTATTATCTCAGCTTCCTGAGTAGCTAGGATTATAAGTGTGAGTTTCCAGCTGTACATGATTCTTAAATGCAGTGTTTAAAGAACTAGCAGAACTTAAAGGAGTTGTGATTTTTAGTTCAGTTATTTTGCTCCACTAAGTCCTCACTTGTTCTTGTAACACGTCTTGGAAGCTTTTATTAGAACCCATTAAGCTTCTATGAGTCTTGTCTCCATGTCATATTAGTAGTATTCCTTAATTGGGGCAGTGGTGGCTCACACCTGTAATCACAGCTACTCAGGAGGCTGAGACCTTGAGGCTCGAGGTTCAAAGCCAGCCCAGGCAAGAATGTACATGAGACTCTTACCTCTAATTAACCATCAGGAGAGCCCAAAGTGAAGCTATGGCTCAAGTAGCTGAGCACTAGCCAAAGAGCTCAGGGACAGCCTGGATGAAAAGACTGAGCCTGAGAGACTACATTTCCAAAATAACCAGCAGAAAGCCAGATGGAAGTGCAGCTCAAATCCTAAAATGCTGGAAAGTGAGCACAAAGGCTTGAGTTCAGGCAAATACCAAAGGAGACACGTGTTTGTTGCTTCTCTCAAATCTCTCCCATCTTGGGCATAAATGACCTGGGCTCCCTACTCATATTGTGATACATTGGGTTCTTCTTACCTGCACTGTGGATTCCTGAGGCCTAGAATAGAACGTGAGGAGTGGCCAGCACACTGGCCACTGTTGATCTTTTGGGCCTGGCATCAGAGACCTGGTAGTGCCTTTGGGATGTATTGATGGAGCCTTGTCTTACTGATTTCATTCTAGCTACTGGCTTGTTTGAGCCTGTTAGAGAATCAACAGAAAAAGGGGACTAACTTGCTGACTCACACCTAGCTACTCAGAAGGTTGAGATTTCAGCCTAGGCACTGTCCCTGAGATTTTTTTTACTCAAGACTAACATTCAACTACTTGAGCCACAGCTCCACTTCTGGCTTTGAACTTTGATCCTAAGACCCCACGCAGCTAAGATTACAGGTGTGAGCCATAAGTGCCTTGCCATCCTTGCACTGTCAACTGTCGGCTAATTTAGGGTTTATTTCTAGGATGTCTATTCTGTTCCATTGTTTTTCATGTCACTATTGTGCTGATGCTTTGAGCCATATTTTAAAGACAATCAGTGTATTGCTTCCTACCTTTGCTCTTTCTGCTTAAAATTCCTTTGGCAAGGTGGGTGGCTCCTGCTCGTAGTCTTAGCCAATGGGAAAGCTGAGTTCTGATGATTACAGTTCTAACATGTGTTGGAAATTCTGTGGGACTCTAAATACCTATTAACTAGCAAAAAGGTAGAAGTGGAGCTGTGGCTCAAGTGTAGAGCCTGGAGTGAAAAATCCAACTGAGATCTGAGTTCAAGTCCCAGTACTGACACATACATGTATGCACATACTAAACAAAGGTGATGAAAAAATACGATCTGCTACACAGGTTTGGGGGGTTAAATGTTTATTAAACCAGACATTTAAATTCTATATCCACCTGCAGACTGTAAACAAATACAGTATATGTGTAAGGTAAAGATGGACAAATTAGTGGAAAATCTAAAATGCCCTTTAAACACCAGAACCTCACCACACCCTCCTTAGGCCGATGCCAAGGACTCTGTCACAAAGTTAAATGAAAAACCATTCGGTTAGCTCTGCTCCATCTCCTAGAGTGGATTTCAACACCTGGATTTGTTTATTTGTATCACACTGCAGTAGGCTGCATTTCAGCAAGGCAACAACGTAAGTTTTTGTTTCTGTGGTACTAGGGATGAGACCCAGATCTTAGACATTCTTAGCAAGTGCTTATCACAGAGATACAATCCCAGACTTGGTTTTTAGAGACAGGGTCTTATTGTGCAGCTGGGGATAGCCTTGAACTCCATTTCAATTGCTGGGATTGCAGGTGCACACAACGATGTCGGGCAAAAATATAGTTTTTATATTCACAGATTAGCTGAACGAGTACAAATTAAGTTTCTAATGTAAGTCTCCCTCCCATTACCATAATTAACAAGAAACATGAGTTAGAAATAAATGAAAGACCACAGGTAGTTACAAAAATAGATGACTTATAGGATAATAAATATCTATAGTTAAACTGATCACAAAACTTATAAAATTTACTTTTTCCCATAATGTAAAGATTATCTAAGTACATTCAAGAGAGACAGGGGGGATGGGCCCGGAGAGTTGCTGGCAAAAGGAAAAGTACAAAATCCACAGCAGGAAACTGATGCAAATGAGAATATGCAAAACACAAAACTCCTCATGAACCTACTTAGACACCAAAGTTAGCTTTCAGCCCTTTTTATATCTTAAAAAGTAACTCTGTGTTACCCATGTAAAAACATGTAAAAAGATTTATCCAGAGACAAGAAGTTGGTGGATTGAACAGCCTCATTAAAACAGCTAAAATCTGGAGGATCTAGTGAGATTTTATATATTTCTGACATACAGGGCTTTCAAAGAACCCCATAGAGTTTGGATGGTTTTTTAAATTCCCATACCAAGCCATTGTATAAGAATTTCAGTTTTACAAGTGGGGAAGACTTTAAAAATTGAAAAATTCTGAACTGAGATAGGGGAGGGAGAAAGCTAAAAAGACCTGCCAGATATGGCAGAGTGCGTGAATATGTAAGTGACACTGCTGGAAAGGGCTGTGTGAGGTCAGGCAGAGGGTTGGGCCCAACCCCACCTCACCTGAAACCCAGCCAGGGATCCCCTCTGGACTCTGGAATGGGATTGTGCGTTTTCAGCAGGTGACAGTGTCACCGGTAAGCTTCCTCAGCCCTCATGGCACAGCGGGTCAGGAAGAGCTCAGAAGTCATGATACCCCAGATTCTTATTCACCTAAGTTCCTGCAGGCACTGGGTTACCTCCTCCTTCATCTAGCCTGGAAACTTCATTTCCTTGCCAAAAATCTTCTCCCTGGTCTAAGACGTCCACGTTCCACTGACACAGTGACCATGGGTTACAATTTCAGGAGGGGGAAGAGGCTTTCCCAAAGCCACCTGACATTTCCAGAATGCGCCTGGAATGGCCACTAGACTGACCCCAGGACCCTTGTTTCCCATGAAACACTGTTGGGGGAAGGCTACTACAAAACTGAAATTTTGATATTTTTTACACCAGTACTGAGATTTGAAGTCAGGTCCTTCAGTTCTCACTTGCCTATTCCATTCTAGGCTGGTGTTCTACCCCTTAAGCCACACACCACTTCCACCATTTGCTGGCTAATTGGAGATAAGAGTCTCTCAGTTTGTTTGCCTTGGCTGGCCTTGAAGGGAGACCGACAGATGTCAGGCATGATCACCTAGTTTACAGGCATGGGCCACTGGCACCCATGTCTAAAATCTATTGTTTTCTTTTCTTTTGTCATGGGGCTTGAACTCTGGGCCCAGGCACTGTTCCTCAGCTCATCAGCTCAAGGTTAAGACTCTACCACTTGAGCCACAGGGCCAATTCAGGTTTTCTGGTGGTTTATTGGAGATAAGCATAACACTGCTGGCTTTGAACTGCGATCCTCAGATCTCAGCCTCCTAAGTAGCTAGGATTACAGGCGTGAGCCATCGGCACATGCCTAAAATCAACTTAATGAAGCAAACGTAGTGGTTCTCAAGTCAGAGCAAGCATGGGAAACACATGGAAGGCAGTTGTTGACCCAGAGGCCACTGCAGGGGCCTGGGAGGGGGCTGGCCTAGGAATCAAGACAACACTGATGCTGCTGGTTCAAGCCCACTTGGAGTAGTGGCTATGAAGACCCTCACCCACACAAAGCCCAGGGCTTTTCTACAAGCAATTCACTGGAGGTCACACAGCCCAGTGATGTCTTGGTGGTCTCATGCCTTGGCAGGGTGGAGGACACAGTGCCCAGCTCCAGGTCCAGTCCAGGTGAGCACTGTCCCTTCCGAGAGACACCAGCAGACAAGTCCAACCTCACACAGCACAGGAAAGGGTCTGCCCCCAGGGAACTTGTTGGCTAGGACAGGAGAATCCCAGGTGAGCTTCCTGTGCTCTGCTGTTGCTGGGTCTGGACAAAAGCACTGAAGACAAAGAGCCTAAAATGCAGGAGACTTCAGTGAGAGGAAACTGCACATGGGGATTATCTTGTTAAAAATATCTACTTGTTAAAAGAAAGATCAGCCCACAATCAAGTCGTTTTGCTGCCCTTGAGATAGTGTTTAAAAGTTCAGCGTGGTGACTTTGTCTTCAGCATACATACCATCTTGAGGCTGGTCAGGTTTATCAACAGAAGAATGACAAGAAATAACCCCCCCATTCAAACGCACACAAGTCACACCTAAGCCTTTCAGCTGACACGGCTGCAATCTTACAGGTTACCATCACTGAAAAGGATATCTCATGTTGCTCATAGAAAGATCCACAGAAGGACAAGGAGCACACACATGTCCACATGTCCACACGTGTGTGCGGCTGCTGTCAATGGACTGCCTCTCATGATTCAAGAACACCCTGCAACTCTTCATCCGGATCGGCGATGGGAGCACAGCCAAGCCAACGCTGCCCTGTTGCCAAGTCCTGGTCTCCACACAAAGCCAATATGGGAGAGGCAGAAGGCGGCCCGTCTGCGGCACAGCTCACTTCAGATGTGTTCTGGATGGCTCTGGAGACAGGCCAGCATCTCTGCCACGGGTCTGCCTTCATAGCAGATCTGATACACGGCAGTGAACAGCGGAAACCTGGGTGGGTGGAAGAGAGGGTGGCAAGGTTGGTGATCTGCTTCACCTCCTAGAGCACATTCATCCTCTGCCCCCCCAGCAGGCTGCTTGAACAAGAGTGACCAGCCTACATGTCTTCACAGTCGCAGAACACAGAGACTCTGTAAGATACAGGGGTAAACCAGGCACCTGTGGTTCATGCTTGTGATTCCCAACTACTCAGGAGACTGAGCTGTAAGGATCACAGTTCAAAGTCAACGTAGGCAGGAAAATCCATGAGACTCTGACCTCCAATTTAAAAAAAAAAAAAAAAACCAGAAGTAGAGGAATGGCTCAGTTGGTAGAGTGGCAGCCTTGAGCAAAAACACCAAGCAAGTATGTGAGGCCCTGAGTTCAAACTCTAGTTCTGATATGAGCATGTGCACACCCACATACCCAGACACACGGGTAAGCAAGGCACAGGATTGTCCTTCAGGGTAAATGGCAGCCATGATCAGAAAAGAGCTGTGGCTCCGGATCTTGGCTGATTCTGGATGAGACCAAGTTCCTGTCGCTGTTTGAAAAGAGAATTTTAAATTGTCTCCAAAGAGCACTAGAGTCATCCCACGCCTGGCCAGAAACACTTCATGCCCTGCAAGAAGTAAAGTGGGGACCACCTTAGCAAAGTCCCCATCTCCCTTCCATGGAGGAAGCTTCGTTTATTTTGCTTTTCCTCTGAGATGTGAGCACACACAGTGAAAGTCTGAAATGGACACAGGGGAAGAAGGAGAGGACTGGAGGCCACTGGGAGGAAAGATATCATCATCAGGGTACAGCTGCCTCAGCACGTTTCCTCTGTGCATGTATATGTAAGTACATGGATGTGCACCTGCCCTGTTGTTTGTGTTGCTCTCCTAGCTGCAGTCACTTTTTCAAAACGAGAGACAGAGAAAGAGAAAACACAAAGTAAGCTTGACAGAATCAATACAGCCTTAAAGGTTATTCTGAGAATCACTTGGGTAAGCTCCAATAAAGACAATTTTAAGAGAGCAAACACAGAAACAGCCAGATGCTGGTGGCTTACACTGGTAATACTAGCTACTCAGGAGGTCTTTTTTAATTTTTGTACCAGTCCTGCATGTTTAACTCAGGGGCTAAGTGCTGTCCCTGAGTTTCTTTTTTCTTTTCTTTTTTTTTTTTCCTAAAGGCTAGCTCTCTACCATTTGAGCCACAGCTCCACTTCTAGCTTTTTGGTGGTGAATTGGAGACAAGAGTATCAGGGACTTTCTTGCCCAGGCTGACTTCCACTCTGATCCTGAGATCTCAGCCTCCTTGGCAGTTAGGATTACTGGTACCTGGCTCAAAAGTGAAGAACTTTCAGTCCTAGCCAGTCTCTGAGGTGGAAATAATGTCCTCTTCATTCGATGGAGGTGGGACCCAAGGCCCGCTCTGACTCAGAGCCACTAAGCCATGTTTCCATCCAAATGTCATTTCCTATAACACAGAACCTGCAAGGCCGATGAGTCTGGCCAAGAAAACACTAAAGTCAAGGTGAGAAGAGAACAAAAGGCAGCACACACCTCACAGAAAAGATCTGACACAGGTCACTCCATCTGCCAGCCCACTATGGACATTTTGGCCTTCCTGGAACCCGGGGTTCAGGGGTGATAGAGGCTGTGTGGTGGGGGGGCAGGGCCTAGTCCTTAAGGACATTACCACACACAGGTCAGTCAAGGGCTGGCTTGGGCCCCTCCTGCTCATGTGCCTGAGTCTTCCTCACAGTATAGCTGAGTATGGAGACAGGACCTTTAAAGATAACCTAAGCCAGGCTCTGGTTGACTCGTGCTTGAAATCCTAGCTTCACAGGTGGTGATTTCAGATCAAAGCCAGCCCAGGAGGAGATTATTAGCTCCAATTAATCACCAAAAAGTTGGAATTGGAGCTGTGGCTCCAGTGATAGAATGGTAGCCTTGACCAACAAAAATTAAAAAGGATAGCATTCAGGCCCTGAGTTCAAGCACCAGGACCAGCGTGTGCCTATCGGCACACCCATGTGCACACATACCCCCAACTCAACAATGCCCTATATGAAAATGAAGGCATTTTCTGGGCCCTAATTCAACCTGACTGGCATGCTTCTAGAAGGAGGACTTCAGGACACTGACATGCAGACATGTGATGAAGCAGAGACACAGAGAAGATGACCTCTGAACCAGGCAGTGCTGCTCAAATCTGTAATCCTAGCTAATTAGGAGACTGAGATTGGAGGTTCACAGTTCAAAGGAAGTTCCACAGTGAGCAGAAAAGGCTTGCCAGACTCTTATTTCCAATTACTCAGCAAAAAAGTGGGAAGTGAAGCTGTGGTTCAAGAAGTAGAGAACTAGCCTTGAGCTTAACTGCAGAAGGAAAGAGCCCAGGACATTCCCCCCCCCACCCCCCACCCCACCACCACCCCTGTTCCCCCAAGATGATCTCCAACAACCAAGGAGAAGGCCTCCAAGGAAACCAACCAGCCAACCCTCCCTCAATCGGAGACCTTGAACGTTTAGAACCTCCTCTGCTATGAGCCACCCTGAGTACTTCACTATGACAGCACGAACCAAACAGTACAATTGTCTCACCCTTAACGTGCTCATAAAGATACAAGTACAAGGAGAGCTAAGCTAGTGTTTTTTTTTTGTTTTTTTTTGTCTTGGGGGCCTGGGCGCTGTCCCTCAGCTCTTCAGCTCAAGGCTAACACTCTACCACCTGAGCCACAGACCATTTCTGGTTTTCTGATGGTTTATTGGAGATAAGAGTCTCACGGAGTTTCCTACCTGGGCTGGCTTTGAAACGTGTTCTCAGCCTCCTGAGTAGCTAGGATTACAATAATGAGCCACCAGCACCTGGTATGAATTTTATATTAGCAGAAAAGTGCAAATAATTTCACTGTCTACAGAAAGAAGATGGGTTAAATAAACTGCATATTTTCTGTGAGGTTTTTTCTAGAATGAGCCTGACCCCAGGTTAAAACAATCCGTCCCTGGCAGGGACAGTTATTCATGGCTGGAAGGGATGAAGAGGCTTCAGGGAACAGCCTGGGGCCACCTGGGAAGTTGGCACATGGAAATGCTCACATCCTGTCAGATGCACACTTGGGTGCTTGCACAAAGTCTAGCTGGCACTAGACTGTGAGAGCTGTGTCAAACGCCAGCCTGTAGAGCTGAGCTCCATCTTCAAAGGAGAACAATCATGAAGTGATCAAGTCCATCTTTACTGTGTGGACTGTTTCAGCAGGGCTAAAAACATGACTTCTCCAAGACATGTCGCTGACACAAGGTAGCAAGAATGCTGCGCCCCCAATACCTACTCCTTTACAACAGTGAGGAAGAAAAAGGAGGGAGGAGGACAGGAGACCAGAGGAGTCAGGCAGAAAAGAGGCAAGAAGGGGCTGGGAAGGTGGCTCAGTGGTAGAGCACTTGCCTTGCATGCATGAGGCCCTCGGTTCGATTCCTCAGCACCACATAAGCAGAAAAAACTGAAAGTGGGGCTGAAGCTCAAGTGGTAGAGTGCTAGTCTTCAGCTGAAGAGCTGAGGGACAGCACCCAGGCCCAGAGTTCAGGCCCTACGACAGACCAAAAAGAAAAGAAAAGAGAAAGAAATAATTAAGAGATGGCTCATGCCTATAATCGTAGCTACTCAGAAGGCTGAGATCTGAGGATTGTGGTTTGAAGCCAGCCCAGGCAGGAAAGTCTCAAACTCATCCCAGTTAACTACCAAAAAGCTAGAAGTGAACCTGTGGTTGAAGTAGTAGACTTGAGTAAAAAAGCTACAGATAGTGCCTAGTACCTGAGTTCAAACCCAGGACCTAGACACATCATTAAAAACTATAGTCATGATAATAAAATGTTAACTAATTCAGAAGAGAAGGAAGAGCAAGTCATCCCCGGATTCTGTGCTCAGGTTGGGCTCATGATCTCATGGGTCTGCCATGAGGGTGGCTAACTACATCTTTTCTCCTTACTCTTCCAGCCTCTGATGGGGGAGGAAATACACGGCACTTTGGAGGAAGAAGAGGACAGCGGAGCGGGGCAGGAGGAAGAAGGGCAGGCCAGTGCTACCTTCCCAGTCCTGGCAAAGGCCTCGGCCACCCTGCGGTTTCGTCCTCCATAGCAGGTGGTGCCAACCTCTCCAAGGCCACTCCCTGGCCCTACCCTTTCCACATCCTGGGGAAGAGAATGACCTGTAAACGGTGCCTAACAAAATGCCTGTGTGTGCTGGGTTTCCACCTGCTTAGTCCACACTGGTGAGTTGCTGTGTGACTGGACTACTCAACCACTGAATAACAGGTTGTTTCGTTATCTGATTTTTTGTGCTGCTTAGGATCAAATTCAGGGACTTACACATGCTAGGCAAGTGCTACTGAACTCATGTACCATTGAGCTACAGACATCTCAGCTCCTTGTTTTTTAATATGATGTCTTGTTTGTAGCCCAGGTTGGCCTTGAACTTGAATACCACCTGCCTCAGCCTCCCAAGTACTGAGATTACAAGCATGCAATACAATGCCCAATTTAGAAATTATTTTGAAGTCTTATATAAATCGTTGAGTATCTGTGATAGTGAAACTTTCAGGTGGCTCTGTGTGATAGGATTTTGGGGGTGAGTAGGCAGGTTGGCAGGAATTAGTATGTATTCACTGGCTTTAGGAGAAAATGGAGCTGGGATCCTGGGCTCAGTGGTTGTCTTGTTTAGGGAGTCAATTTTCCCTTACCCAAGTTGAGTCTTGATTTTTCTTCTGAGTAGAAAATGAACACGAAAGTCCCTTAGTTTTTTTTCACTCAAGATGGGCACTAACACAGCTTCAGTCCAGCTTTGGTGGTTAATTGGGGGTAAGAGTCTTATGGACTTTTCAGCCTGGGCTGGCTTTGATCCTTAAATCTTAGCTTGCTGAGTAGTTAAGATTACAGGCATAAGCCATTGACACCTAGCAAAGTCATCACTTTTTAAAAATGTAAAAGCCAGGCTGGGAAGTTGGCTCAGTGGTAGAGCGCTTGCCTTGCATGCCTGAGGCCCTGGGTTCGATTCCTCAGCACCACATAAGCAAAAAGAAAAAAGCCAGAAGTGGCGCTGTGGCTCAAGTGGTAGAGCGCTAGCCTTGAGCTGAAGAGCTGAGGGAAAGCGCTCAGGCCCAGAGTTCAGGCCCCACGACTGGACCCAAAAAAAAAAAAAAATGTAAAAGCCCTTCCTGAATTCCCCAGCAGGACAAAGAAGAATTTATAACTTCATATTCTATAATACCTTAGAGAACAGGGCTGGGAAAGTGGCTCAGTGGGAAAGTGGCAGGCATGAGGCCCTGGGTTTGATTCCTCAGCACCACATAAACAGAAAAAGCCAGAAGTGGCGTTATGGTTCCCTGGGTTACCAGTGAGGTTCTAGAAACACAGCAAACAGCTGCATTCACCTACAATCAAAGACCAAGTGTCACTTACTTGTCAATGAGTCCCTTTTGTTTGAGGATGCGGTATACTTCAGCTGATGTCTGGGGTCCTTGGAGCTTTTGCCCATTCAACATCTCCTTTTCTAGTTCTTCGATGGTCTTAAAAGAAAAACATGAAAATAAAAACCTGTAGTTAAAAACTAAAAAAGAAAGAAAGAAACATTTATTTCAAGAGAAGGAGGGGCTGGGAATGTGGCTTAGTGGTAAAGTGCTTGCCTACCATGCATGAATCCCTGGGTTCTATTCTTCAGTACCACATAAACAGAAAAAGCCAAAAGTGGAGCTGTGGCTCAAGTGGTAGAGTGCTAGCCTTGAGCCAAAAGAAGCTCAGGGACACTGCCCAGGCTCTGAGTTCAAGCCCCAGGACTGGGGGAAAGAAAAAAAAAGAAAAGGAAAAGGAAAAGCGAAGGAGAGGGTCAGGCACCAGTGGCTCATGCCTGTCAACCCCAGTGTGAAAGCGAAGGACTGTGGTTTGATGCCAACCAGGCGGGAAAATCTGTTAGACTCATCTCCATTTACCCACCTGAAGCCAAAAGTGAGCTGTAGATCAAGGGGGTAGAGTGCCAAACTTGAGTGTAAAAATTGAGGGGCAGTGGCCAGGCCCTAATTTCAACCCCCAGTAGCAGCACATACACAAAGGAAAAAAAAAAAAAAAAAAAAAAGGAGTAAGAGCTAAATGCTCAGCTTTAAGCCAAGAAAAGATAAAGACCGAAAAAACAATGCTGGGGCAGGCAAGAGCAAGCAGGCAGGGCAAACAGAACAAAGAGCCCAAGTTGGGTTAACTGTGCACATGTGGCTCACCCAGCCCCAGGAGTCTCAGGTGGAGGAGGAAGAAGAGGACAGCGGAGCGGGGCAGGAGGAAGAAGGGCAGGCCAGTGCTACCTTCCCAGTCCTGGCAAAGGCCTCGGCCACCCTGCGGTTTCGTCCTCCATAGCAGGTGGTGATCAGGTCAGCCACCCCACAGCTCTCCAGGAAGGTGCCGGTGGACACCTGACCCTTGCAGAAGATCCTGGCAAAAGCGATCATTTCCATGAGGCCCAGGCGGATGACGGCAGCCTTGGTGTTGTCTCCGCATTGGAGGCCATCGCAGAACCCAGCTCCCACAGCCACGATATTCTGCAGGAACGACAAAGCCAGGATGGAAAGGGATTGCACAGAGGCCCTCAATAGCTGCAGCGGTAGGACAACGAGCAGTCTTGTTGAATCCCAAATGGACTCACTTTTTGGATTGTTACTTAAAGTAAAGCTGAATGCTTTCTTCAGCTGTTATAAACTCTGTAAAGCCCAAGGGGACACTGATGAATTTCTTTTTTTTTTAATTTTTAATCTATCTATCTATCTATCTATCTATCTATCTATCTATCTATCTATCTATCTATCTATCTATCTATCTATCTATCTATCTTTGTAAAGATACTGTAGAGGGGTTACGTGAGCAAGGTAATGAGTCCATTTCCTATTGAGTATTGTTACACCCTCCTTTATTTTCCCCCTACCATCCCTTTCCTTCCCTTTTCCCCCTCCAAAGTTGTAGAGTTCGTTTTCAACATAGTGTCTTGTACATCTCATTGTTACAATGGGTCATCCTGTATCCTTATTTCAGCATTTTGTTATTTCCCTTCTCCCTAAATTAGAAAATGTATATACAAGATGCAGGCACCAGAATCAAATACAGTGACAACAGGGGTTGTACCATGGGGGAAGAACATAAAAAGAAACAAAAAAAAAATTACATAGTACATTCTAAGTACTTTAAAAAGAACAGCAACAAAGATAAAACCTCTTGTGTATGTTGATGTATTTCTACAAGCTGACTGCAACCACAGAGCAAGATCCAGAAAGAACACAACAGGTGCCTCAGAAAGACCCCAGCCCCTTTCAGTCCCTCCCTACCAAAGGTGACCCCTTGCTCCTATCACACATGGACTCATGTGACCCAACTAAGCATTATGTGAGTGGAGGCCAATAGCATGTGATCTTCCTTACTAGCTTCCTTGTCTCCTTGATGTCATGTTTGTGAGATGCACATTTTCCATAGAGTACATGTATTTAATTGTCATGCACTATTCCATTGTGTGACCACACTAATATACTTATCCATTCTTTTGTCCCTTAGCCTTGGTAGATTTCATTACAAGCAGTGTTACTATGGGCCTCGCACGTGTCCTCTGGTGGACATGTAGGCAAATCTCAGTCTTCATGTCATGGCCTCTCCTACACACAAGACAAATTGCACACACAGCCAAGGTGACAGTCATGCAGGACTTCTTGACCTGTTTTCAGGCTATCCAACCACACTCAATCAGTGACACACTGCTTCTGTCTGCCACTGCAGATGCCATCAGCTGCCAGAGTCCAGGTGACCCACAAAACCTAAAACATGTTCTACCTGGCTTACAGAAAATGCTAACTTGTTGACCTAGCAGGAAAAATAAAACCCAAACATGTATACATAACTAACATTCATAAAGCAATACCCTGAAACTTCATTTCAACATATGTGCACTGGCAGGCCATGTAAAGATGGACAGACCTTACTAAGCCACGACAGGCACTATCGATGCCTATTAGGAAGGGGACCATACAGATATATAATGAGACTTAATTTGTCCTCAGGAAGCTCCCAATTTGAGAGAAGAGATGCAACAATACGCAGAAAGAATGGCAGGCACCAGTGGATCACACTTAAAATCCTAGCTACTAAGAAGGTTGAGATCTGAGGATTAGGGTATGAAGCCAGCCTGGATAGGGAAGTCTTCTAGACTCTTTTTTTTTTTTTTTTTGGGTCCGGTCATGAGGCCTGAACTCTGGGCCTGTGCGCTGTCCCTCAGCTCTTCAGCTCAAGGCTAGCGCTCTACCACTTTAGCTACAACACCACTTTGGTTTTTTTCTTTTTGCTTATGTGGTGCTGGGGAACCAAACCCCAGGGCCTCATGCATGCAAGGCAAGTGCTCTACCACTGAGCCACCTTCCCAGCCCTTCTACACTCTTATCTCCAATTAATTAGCAAAAAGTTGTAGGTGGAACTGTGGCTTAAGTAGAGCATCACCCTTGAGAAAACATGTTAAGCAAGAATGAAAAGGGAAAAAAAATTTAAAAGAGTTTAAGGAACCAACTTCTAGCCTCATTAGCAGCACAAAACAGTAAGTAAAGGAAAAAGGCAGAGAGAAGAATACAGGAGGCTAATCTAATTAGAGTATAAAAACTGAAATGCCACAGTGAAACTCTTTGGTACAATTAAAATAAATAAGAATGGCAGGCTCTGTAGAGGGATGGGCAGGAAATAGCAAGAGGAGTAAAGGGAGAAGAAAGAAGGTAAATGAGGGTAATAAGATTGAAATATTTTTATGAATACATGAAAATAGAACAATGAAACATACTGAAATTGTTTTAAGAGTGAAGACGGGAAAATCATAGCGCCGGTAAGGTTAATGGGATGCGTTGTATGCATGTCTGCAAATTTCACAAAACCATTCTTGCAAAAGCAATGTATGTAAATAAAAAGTTTTAGTAAAGAAAAAGAAAGATAGAAAAAAGAGGGGGCTGACAAAGGGACAGGGACCAGAGCTTCATTTCAAGCAAGAAGGCTGAGGCTTGGGATAAAGGTCAGTAGTAGAACATGTGCTAGGCCCTGGGCTCCATCCCAAGTGCTGCAAGGAAAAAAGAAAACTTGTCAAGGCAGGGAAGGCAACATGGAGGAAGGGATATCTGAGCTGAGCCTCAATCCTATGGACAGCTCCGATGATCACAGACAGCAGTGCAGAACTGGCAGGTATTTAGCTCTCCAGCGGAAAGGCTGGCTCCTGACCCTTGAACTCTCAGCTACTTCATCAGGGACAATGCATGCCAGAAAGATGTAAGTATTCTGTATCTAAACACAGTAGTGTTTTCTATATTTCCTGCTAATGATACAGCAGTTAGTACCTGAGCACCCTGCCCCAAGGCACCCCTACAATCAGCTTTGGTACTCACACTGAGCATGAGGTGGGCTAGGTTCACCATGAGGAACAGCCAGCCTTGGGGAGACTGAGTCACAGAGCTCTATCCAATGAAGCACATTATATAAGCTCTCCTGAAGCTTTTGCCTACTTCTCCACCCCCACCAAGAGAACACAGGGCCTTTGTTCACTTCTGGAGGTAGAGGGTGGGGGGAATCAGAAGTGGGAGGAGGGCTAGAGAGCCAAGGATGGGTATGGAAGGCTCTGAATGTGCTGTCTCTCCTTCCTCAGTGACAAACCAGCACTCATGGAGGTTGTTGGCTACTCTTCTCCTTGTCAAGGCAGAAAGAAAAAGTCAAAGCCATATGTTGGTGGCTCCAACCTGTAATCTTAGCTGCACAAGAGGCTGAGATATGAGGATCATGGTTTGAAACCAGCCCAAGACAGAAAGTCTGTGTGAGACACATATCTAATTAACTAGCAAAAACCTGGTGGTGGTGTGGTTCAAGTAGTAGAGCATCAGGCTTGAGCCAGAAAGCTAAGGGAGAGTGTCCAGGCACAGAGTTCAAGCCCTAGTACTCACTCCCATAGAGGGGGAAGCTCCCAGAGAAAACAATAACAGCTAACTTTATTGAACACTCCTAGGTGCTCATATATTATTAATCTTCACCCCATTCTTACAAAGCAGGTCCTGAGGAAACTGAGGTAAGCAGCTTGCCCAGGGTGACATACCACCCCAGGCCAGTAACTGGAAGGAAGGCACACAGCTACACATCACAACAGAGGCGGCAGGAACTCGGTCACTGGAACTGGCCAAGCAGGACTTTATGCACACACCAAGTGTAAACCAGGAAAGTCAGGTGCTTTCATGTCACTTGGCTCAGACAAAAGGCAGGCAAGGAAGCAGGCAGGCACTCAAGGCTACTGCAGGGCCCAGGGATCTAGACTGCCTAAGAGCTTCCAGAAGACATCTACCCTTCCCCCCAGAAGGGAACAAGGCTGGCATCCACTTAGTCAACCCACTTCCAACACACTCTAGGCCCTGCTCAGCTGAACTGTCTTCTGATAGATCGAGAAATCTCTCCCCACCACCTATCACTGTCAAAAGAAAAACAAACACCCTGAGCCAGTCAGAGCATGTGAGATTTGCATTCAAGCAGATGCCCTCTGAGATGGCTCAGCTGTGAGAGTTATCATTTTGTGCATTTAAATCTGCCCTGAAATATCTGCAGCTAAAAATACCATGATCTTCAGAAGGCAGATGTGCTTAAGCCCTTCCCCATTTCCTGGGTCATGGCCCTATGCAGAGGAATCAGCCAGCCCAAAGCACCATCTTTGCAATTCTGTATCAGGGTTGAAAGGGCTCAATTCCTCTTTCACTGCCTGCCCACACAAAAAGAATGGAAAACCAGAGAAGTCAATTTTATCACCTGCAGGTTACACAAACATTACCTAGAAAGAATCACCCACAGGAATCCTGGGCCCCTGCCTTCTCTCCTCTGGAAGTTCAACCACCCATCTGCCTCTTCCTGGGCCCAGTATCCCATGCACTTGACCTCTAAGGGCAATGTCTGTCTGCAGAGCAGGCTTACTAAAGGCAAAGTGCCATGTTGGGCAAGTTGCAAGTTGGGCTCTGGCAGCCAGGTGTCAAGAATGCCATGTCAGGCCCACACTTTGGCCATGAGACTAAGCTACCCTGACACAAAGCTGCCTTAGCTACCACAGCCTATCCCCTAAAGCCATTTCTACCTTAATATGATGTTTGCTATCTGTTGTATCTCAAAGTCTAACCACGAAGTCATACCAAGCCTTTGCCAGTGGTTACTGTAACTAAAAAACTGATTTGAAATAGGGTCTCAATACATAGTCGAGGCAAGCCTTAAACTTGTAATCCTCCTGCTCAACCTCCCACATATTGAGATTACAGGTGTTCACCACCATCCTCAGCTCAGAAATTCAATTTTAATTTTGTTTTGGTGCTGGTACTAGGGCTTGAATTCTGGATCTAGGCACTATTCCTCAGATTTTTGCTTAAGACAGATGCTCTACCACTTAATCTACATCTTCCAGTTTTTTGGTGGTTAATTGGAAATACGATTAGGCTTTCCTATCTATATTGAATTCTACCACTTGAACCATATCTCCACTTCTGGAAAGTTTATTTTTGTTTTGTTTTGG